AAAAAAAAAAAAAAAAAAAGAATAATTTTACATTCAAAAAAATACACAACTTGCCTATATGTAACATTTCTATATTTTAAGTCAGCGCTTCCCTTAGAAATTCCATGTTATATTATCAGGGTTTTTTTTAACTTATTCAAATACACATGATTAAATTCAGTTATCAGCATACTGTGTGCAGATGCTGCTATTAATCACAAACAAAACCTAAGTTACATTATCTGGAATTGACACTAGTCAAAAAAAAATTGACTTGCTGCACATAAATAAGTGATCATGTAGAAAATTCAAGAAGATGACTTTTGCAGAGTTCTAAAGCCCTGAGACCTGAGTTGACAGAAGCTGGATCTATCTGTAAGCAACAGTAGGAGAAAACAGAATTTTATCCCAAAATGTCATAGGAATGCCTAGGTGTTAATTGTAGTGCGAATAGCTATTAAATATCTAATGTTTCCCAAAACTTACAGTCAAAGAACTCTGGTCACCAAGTCAGGCATTTAATTTACCTGCTAGGGAATATACTATGAGACACTTCCTCTTTGTCATTTACTAAATTCATATATATGTACACTTTTAGAGTCTTTCATTAGTTCCAACTATCTACTTGTCTATCCTTATACTAATACCACATTAATATGGGCTCCGTGGAAAGTTCTCCCTTGCTGTTCTTATTTTTTTACATTCTTGTTAGCTATTTGGTTTCATACAAAAAAAAGTCATTTTATCCAATTTCCCCTAAAAATTTAGGTGGGATTCTAATTCAAATTGTAAATATATTTATATTTTTATTACATATATATTTATTTTATTATATGTATATTTTTATTTCATAAATATATTTATAAAGTATAATATATAAGTTAAACATATTAATTTTAATTGAACTTACTTTTTTATTAACTTTGCATCTAAGAACATTATATGTCTTGCCATTTGTGTAGATTTTGTTTCATGAGTAGATCCTATACTTCTGGAGGGAGGAGGTCAATTTTATCCTTACATATTCTATGTTTTGGAGCTACTGTTAATGGAATTTTTTTCTGCTTTCATTCTTAAGTGCTTATTTATACAGTAGCAAAAGCTATTAATTTTTAAATATTTATAATATATCCAATCACCAGATCAAGTTTTCTTCTCTGCCAATGTTTATATCAGCGCTTACCAGTTATTCCACTTTTTCATTATTTTACTACATCTATTACAACCTCCAAGGCAATGTTATACAATAATGGCAAGAAAGAGAATCCATATCTAATTTCTGATTTTAATTGAATTTT